GGCTCTCCACAAGCTTCCGGCGGCCCGTTAGTGCAGCGGAAACGTTTGTGAGAATAAACTGACTGAGGCCTCACTCGCGTGAGTGCCTTGAGGGTGACCCCTCAGAAGAGGTCTCTTTTTCTATAGCGAATGCTACCCTAGGGTATATTCCCTAATTGTTTCCGTTCGGGGCTGTAATCTGTAATTAAGCCTAACGAGTAATAAATGAAAATTTCCACAGACTTTCTGGTAGGTATGATTAGGTAAACAAACGGGTTTGTACAACCCTAATAATTTATGAACTGCTAATATGGCTTAATAGAATTCTCAGTTACCATTTTTATTCCCTCATGGTGTTTTTCTTGACAGAGACAACGTTTACGTGCTGTTCCTGTATCTGAGGTCGCATACAAATGGGAGGATACCAATACTAGATTCTGGATTTATGGAAATGAACATAAAGTTCACGCTCCTGACTATCCCCAACAGTGTTGCTGGGGCTGTTCTATATTGTAAATATGAATACGTTTGAGTAAAATGTTTGTCACCACTGGTAGATAACAAAGTTATACTGGGAATCTGGCGAGTCGGTGGTTTTTCAGTTGAGCCATTGATGGTTGCTTGTTGTCGCAGCATATGTGTCTAACATAAGCCATTTTTGTATAGAAGGGCAGTCAGCCAATGAAGTGTAGATATTGCACCTGATTCATGTATGTATCAAAGTGAACTACATGTACATGTTGCATTTAATCACAAATCTTAGGTCAGTAATTCAGTAAAGTGACCATGATTCCTGTAGCCTGCCAATCTAGGAATTGTCAAATCCAGGGAGTACTTAAAAAATATCCCTTTTTAGCTTCGCTGTCTACTTTGTCGAGCGGAGCTTATCATATGAGTGATTGTCCGTCGTCGTCCGTGTCAATGTTTTACTTTTTCGCCTTCTTCTTGAAAACTACAAGCCTGAATGCTTTGTATATGTACCTTGGGTAGACCTCTCTTAGGTTTGTTCATTTCATGTTGATATCTTCAATTCTCTAATTTTGGTTAATATTTTTGTCATTTTTGGTAAAAAGTGATATTTTCGACTTCTTGTTAAAAACCGCAAGTGCAATTGCTTTGAAATTACATATATAGGTACTACATGTGGACCTCTTTCAGATTTGTTCATTTTGTGATGATATCTTCAATTCTCTAATTTTGGTGAATATTTTTGTCATTTTTGGTAAAAAGTGATATTTTCGACTTCTTGTTAAAAACCGCAAATGCAATTGCTTTGAAATTAGATATATAGGTACTACATGTGGACCTCTCTCAGATTTGTTCATTTTGTGATGATATCTTCAATTCTCTAATTTTGGTGAATATTTTTGTAATTTTATTTAAAAAGTGATATTTTCAACTTCTTGTTAAAAACTGTAAGTCCGATTGCTTTGATACTATACATATTGTTCATTTTCTAATGATGTCTTCAGTTCTTTAATTGAAATGTGCATTGCTATCAGCGGAACTATCTCAGCCGATAGGCTGCTTGTTAAGGAATTGTCTTGCTGGCTTTTTACCACATTTACTATCTTCACACTTACACTCCTACTCATACTACTTTTTATTTATATTTTACAAATAACCTGTACTGAAATTTTAATTACTTTTTTATATAAATTTGTGCATAGTTAATAGGAAATTTGCATAATAGTTAACCATATTTCTGCATATTCTTTGTGTGTATCTTTGCATCCGTTTGCGATCAAATGCATTGAATATGCATTTGTGTAGAAGTATATCTGATATTTCTTTCAAATTAATCAATACATATTAATTAGCTGTTTTGCATACTACTTTTACCTTGTTTATTCTGTAACCTCAAAACAATTTGCTGAAATGGTACATGTTGAATCTCATTTCATAGTTATAAATCAATAATGTATTACACTAGGATACATCAAGCTTAAATGTTTGTTGAGTATCCTAAATGCTTGAAATGTAATTTACAATCCAGTTACTCTATTCCTAGTAAAACTGTCAAAAGGAGAGCTAATTGTAACACACTTGATTACAGACCAGATTATAGTAATTATTTTTATTTGTTTTATATAGAATAAAGTGTGTCTGGGACATTTATTACCAACGTAAGTTTTTTTTCTGATAACTATA